TTCTATAACGCTGCGCACGCCTAAGTTCGTTGATTCTGATTCTGTCAAAACATTGGAACAGCATCGATACAGCAACATAGTACTAGTTTTTGTATAAAATAAAAATAACTATAATTCAAAATATTCACGTGATGGAAAATGTTTGATGTCGAAGTCTCAGTCAGGATTCTTCAAACTCTCATGTATAGCCATTATAATATTGGTTGCAATTTTTTTTCTCATTTGTTGGCCAGTGTAATTTTTCACCAAGCAAATTTTTTCACAAGATGCTGCTATGAACTTTCACAACAATCCCCAGGTCAAAATCATTTTCAGCAACAATTTTTGCTGAACGCTTGAATAGAAATGATTGGTGACTACCTAATTGGCCCATTATTTTTTTACCAGCAAGATTACCAGGTAAATCTTACACATACTTTTTGTGAGATCATTTACCCATTTTGTTGAAAGAAGTGCTGGTACTTGTAGAGGCAATATGTGGTTTATGCATTTTAGTGTTCTTGTTTATCAGCATCTCGACATCTAAATGTGAATGACTTGAGGAATCAAATAATTGACAATTGCCATGCCACGAAAAATACTCCAGGTATTTTCGACGACTCTATGTCGTATCCACACACTTACTCATATGGAAACAGAATGTTAGTTCTCTCCAGAATCTAGAGAGTGGTGCTAAGGTTAAGAAAGCAAATTGTCAAAATAACAGCAGACACTCAAATCACTATTAGTAATGTTAGTATCGCTATTCAAATCATCAAATATAACAACCTGAACGAAAAATCACACAAAAGTTCTGAACTTTCACCTGATGATTGACGGTTGGTCAAATTCGATTCTGAGCCCACACCAGGTCTTCGTAGCACAGAATTCACTGACAATTTTCCAGGATTCGATTCTTGTCGAAACAAACCGTCGAAATCAAAAGCTGTTCTGTCACAGCCTAAAGTTCTCGGACTCGACGATTGAGCGCGAAAAAATCGAAACACGGGCGATTTTTCACGTTTGATAGGTTTTTCACTCTTCACGTCCTGTACTTGGTCACTTCTCGTGTTAACTATGTCACTACGAGGTATTTCAGTTCTCTCTCTGCCTACAGTGAGATAGTCATTATATGAAAGCTTTCTTTCTGTAGGAAGCTTCTTGTCTTTTTTTCTTTCGGGTCGCACTGGAATCGATTCAGGTGTTTTCTCGGAATTGAGGCGAGATTTAAAAAAAGATTTGAAAGAGTTGCCACTCAATTTTTTAGTGGTTCCTGGATTTGAGTTACTGCTGGCATCTGGTTCCTTGCATTCCAAAAGAGCAGTGGTGGATTTTGAAGAGCCAGAACTTTTTTTACTGGATGTGCTTGACTTGGTGCTATTCGAGTTTATTGCTCGATGTGGTGGTGGTCTTTCTAATGAATTACATAAACCCGGTTGGCTCGGTTTCGATTTGTCTGGATTGCTGTGTGTTCTTGAACTTCCAAAATCAGCTGTTCTACTAGTACAAGGTTTCTCGTTGCTTTGTGGGTTATAGGAGTCTACTCTTGACTGACTTAGCTCGCTGGAAAGGTTGATTCCGCTTTCTTCCAAGGAGTTGGTTCTGATAGGTGCTGTATTCAAATGGTTTTCGGGTGAAGAGGACGAGGGCACGTATATGAGGCGACCATAAGACAGATATACTACTTCATCTGCCGGAAATATGACATACATGCTCCGCGAGGCAGCCACATTGCGAATCTGTGCTTTGTTTGCTTGCTATACACGTTTTGATCATTTAGTGTTTTCATGCGAAACTTTCTTGTATCCAGAACTGTCAATGGAATTCACTTTATATAACTACCAATAGAATTCTGCTACGTCCTCTAATTACCTAAAAAATAAAAAAAACAAGTTCAGAAACCCTCTTAAATTATTACTCTCATGTTCTTTTTTTTCCATTTTGGAATGAAGGAATGTAATGAAATGGAACAAATACAAGAAACTGTATCTCAAAATGTATGAACCCAGCAATATCGTATGTATGTATGTTTGTTTGTCAGTTTGTAACTCCAGAATGATCAACATTATTGCTTGATCTATCTGCATGCAGATGGCGCTGTACGTTACCTCCTTGATATAATTCGAACTCACTTTACATGTATTTCTTCATTTGAAAAAAGTATATTTCTATTATTATTTTATCACGCTTTTATTAGCTTCACCTGTATGTATGTTTGTCTGTTTGTAACCCTACTTTTCATTTCATATTTATTTCTGTTAGGATGCTCTGGATCTGTATTTGACAGAAATATCGACATTATTGCTTGATCTATTCGCGGGCAGATGGTGCTGTACGTAACCTCATTGATATAATTTGAACTCACTCGACATATATTTCTTCATTTGAAAAAACATATTTTTTTATTAACACGGGCGCGTGCTGCCCTATTTGTAACCCTCCTTTGCGCGCCTGCTGTCTTGGGCTTGGTAACTGATTTTCAGGCTCCCTCTCCGGAATCGGAAAATATCAATGGTCATTTTTTCTTATTATTCAGTATGTTTGAAGACTGGTAGTAAACAAATGTAAAGAACTTTAAACGTTCAAGCCAGTCTTGAATATACCTACAGAGTAGGTGAAATGGACTGACGCCTATCAGAAAACAAGTACTCCTCTGGCTAATACCACGAAGGTCGTTGGATTATATCCGACAGGCGTCGGTGCAGGAATCTTCACAGAAAATTTCCTGCATATGCAATTGGCAATACAATTGAAAGAGTCGACCTTCAATTTTGTAACGGGCAGACCGGTTTTGAGTTAGATTTATAACATTGAATATGTTCCTATGTTGATGAAATTTTTGTATATTTTGTTAGTCTAGATGAATTTTACTTGCAGTCTGCAAATGTATTTATGTTAAATTTAGTTTCAATGATGATAAGAACAAGTGTTTCCTCAATTGAAGCACACTATAAATTCAGGTATTGTATTCATTGATGAATGTATACAAAATAAATCGTATTTTATCAATCTCAGAAACCGTATTAGGAATCACACATCAAAAGGTGAGACCTCGTTGTTCCTTAGCTCGCACGAATTTCTACTTTTGAGGTTTGTTGTTCGTAGGAATGCGAGGGGTGGTTAACGGAAAAACAGTTTTGAACAATTTTTTTTTCAAACATGATGAGAAATTGTACCCCTTTGTATTATTAAAGGGAGGAAACGGTTTCTAAAGTGGGTTGTTGAGAAAATAAGGTAAATTTTCACATTTCGCGAGCTACAGAAGTGCTTTGTATGTTCGGCCATTTTCTGCTATTGGATCAAAGAATTTGCATCAAATTTCATCTAAAGAATGGAATTGAGTGCTCAAAAGTACTTGAAATGTTGACAGTGGCATACTGTGATTGTACTCTGAGTCAGAAAATGTTTACAAGTGGTGGAATCTCTTCACAGGAGGTCGAGAAGATATGAATGAAGGCGCTCGCCCTGGACGCCCCACCACATCAACAACCGATAAATGTGTTGAGGAAATACACGTTAAAAGGAATCCGTGTTAGGAATCACACGTTAAAAGGTGAGACCTCGTTAGTCCTCAGCTCGCACAAGTTTCTCAACTTCTGAAAGTTGTCGTTCGTATGTGTGCGACAGCTGATTAACGGAAAAACAGATTTCAAACAGATTTTTTCTAAGTTATCATTTGGGAAGTTTCTGAGGATGTATGCATATTAGACATAGCATCATTTTTACCAAAATTTTGGCATGAAACGATTGGCCGCGAAGTTTATTCCAAAATTGCTGAATTTTGACCAAAAAAAACCGGATGTTTGAGCATCGCTCACGAATTATCAACTGACGTCAAGGGTGATTTGTTTAGAAAGATTATAACTGGTAAGAAATCATGGGTAAACGGTTATGGCATCGAAACCAATGGCCAATCGTCCCAATGGAAGAGGTCAGGAGAGCCAATATAAAATAAGCCCGACAAATTCGTAGTGAATCAGGAATTCTTGCCACATGGTCGTATGGTCAATAAGAAATATTCTCTAGAAAAAAGAAATGTGGGAATCCTCCAAAAATCGGGTCAGATATCATTTACAGAATTCCCACACAATATAATAAATGAATGAAATAAAATTCCACTCACATGATTCCATTACGAATGTTTGGAATCCAAATAGTATAGAGAAAAGTGTTTTTGGTTGGTTTTTTACATTGATTTCTTCCTTTGGTAGATTCCCACATTTTTATATGGAGATAGAGAAGTAGAAGAAGCCAAAATCTTTTTTTCTAAAACAAAAATCTCTCCCAAAAATATACCCTTCGAATTTAAATTTGCGCCGCTTGCGAGGAGCAATACGGAGAAAACATCCGGTATTGTGGGAAAACAGTTCGTGACTTTTGCATCACGATAATTCACCTTATCACTCGTCGTTGCTTGTTCGTAATCATGCCTCGGCCACCGTATTCATCAGATTTATCCCCCTGTGATTTTTTCTGTTCCCAAGATTGAAGAGACCCATGAGAGAAGATACCGAAAAGTGATGAATAAATGAATATTTCTTGGGAAAATGAAAATTCAAAATATTTTCTAGCAAACAGCGTACGTTTTTTTTTGATGCCTTGGGAGCTGTCTGACTTGTCCATTTAGTCTAAGTCTCCAGGAAACACTGCAGCCTCTTGTGCTTATTGCGTTTATTCTCCCATCTTCTCATGACAGCCATTCCATCAGTCTCGTTCCCTGTACTAGTTTGTACAGGTTCCATGTTGATGTTCGTCATATTCTTCTGGACGTAATTTCATACGTCCATATATAGGTCTCTGTTGTACAGCCTCATTTTATTCAGGTGTCCTCTACGCGGACAATGACCGGTTAGTAACCCTGTAATTATTCTGAGCCGATCCCTACTATATTGAAGTAGTTCTTCGGTTCTTTTCTCGGACGGTTCCCTAATGAAGGTTCTACTGTGTTTGTGGCCAGGTAATTTCGTCCAGTACTCTTTGTGCTTCTTATTGGTCCATGTCCTAATCTAGTTTCGTACCCATAGAGCTGGTTCAGGACCTATATATGAAGTTGATGATCCGCGTCTAGCGCATTCATCAGCTTTATCATTACCTGTGATTCCTGAATGCCCTGGCACCCAGTACAAAGTTAATTTGTTCCTGTTTGCAAGTTCATTCAGTTCTTCATGGCATTCCCAGACCAGAGAGAGCGCTCTTGCTGTCTGTAAAAATATTGATCCGCTCATTTCTTTGCGCACTGCAAGATAGCGTACACTTCCGACTGAAATACGGATGTGTATAGTCCTAGCGGATAGCTGTAGTTTAGATTTCTATCCGCTTGGTATATTCCAGCTACCGTTCCATGTTTGGTCTTCGATCCATCTGCATACCAGGTGTTTTTTCCAAACATGTTTTCCGGATGATTAATGGTCTTCCACTTTTCACGGCTAATGATTTTCGTCGTGAAGTTTGTGTTAAAGGTGTACTTCGGTGTCATGTGGTCCGTGCACATTTTCAGTATGTGCTCCTCCACTTGTTCCGAAATTTTTGTTCGCTCCGATCTTTTGTAGTTCGGTGAGTGTTCCAATCTGAATTGGCCCATCCTGGCCTCCCCCATTATCACAAGGTGTAAAGGAGGTAGATTCAGGAGTGTCTTCAATGCAGCTGTTGGGGTAATTCTCATTCCTCCCGTCATTCCCAAACATGCTAGTATTTGCATCTTGCCTAGTTTGTTGGCACGGGCCACCAGACCAGAGATGCGTATGATATCATGGGTTTGACCACCATCGTTTCTAGCCAATATACCATGTCCGGTTTTAGCCCCCATGTTTTTCCATGAGAGGAGATACCGAAAAGTGACGAATAAATGAATATTTTTTGGGAAAATGAAAATTAATTTTTTTTAGCAAACGGCGTACGTTAGAATTGCATTTGTTTCACAAATGAATATCATGAGCAAATTTCACGAATATATACTCAGAACGATCTTTAGCATAAATAATGACCAGGAATAGTCCCAAACTTACTTTTGTCAAACAATAAGTGTCTTTCAGTTTCGCTAGAAATGTTTCGAACTAACTCATTTCATCATTAAATTTCATTGATTTCACAAATTTGATCGGTTATACTTCCAATTTGGATTATTTTGACGTTTTTGTTTATAATTTCTGCAAAACTTATAGCAAAAAATAGTAGCAGTCATTAGTAGAAATATTCATCTCTCCCAATTACCTACATAGTAAGTTCTGATAAATACCTGCCGGAAAACATTGAATCATATTTGACAGACATTTATGCAATACACCTCACAGATGTCATTCTTGCAGATGTTTTCAGCAGCAGTATCATGTTGAAATCAATGGAGTAGATCACCCACAGACCGGTACAGACCGGATGTTTTTCCTGCGCTTGGTTCACGAGATGGAGCTATTGTTACTCAACAAACTTTCTCTTAGACAAAGGTTTCATACATGCAGTCGAGTTGCGTTAAAACTAATCGAGTTCCAGATACTTTTCTGTTTGGGTCGGATCTTTCCTGCACTGACAGGACGTAATACCCGGAAAGTGGTCTGTAGGTGATCTTCTAGAATAATTTCAGCATAGATGAAAGATATATGATGGAATCGGCCGATACTTGATGAAAATCCATAACTAACGTATTCCAAAAACACTTTATTGTGAGATTTTCACTAAATTGTTTTACAAAAACGCAACACGTGTTTCGCCATACAATGGCTTAATCGAATTCCTTCGATAATCTACATAGTTCAATAGAATTTTTGTCGGAGTAAATAAACCTAGTGTTATCGGCATACAAAACAGATTTATATGAATGCATGAAGTAACTAATGTCATTTACGTAAATTATGATTATAAGTGGTCCCAATACTTAT